TTCCCTTTCCTTTTTCTTCTTCCTTCCTTCCTTTCTTTCTTTCTTTCTTTCTTCCTTTCTTTTTTCTTTCTTTCTTATTTCCTTTTCTTCCTTTCTTTTCCTTTCCTTTTTCTTCTTCCTTCCTTCCTTTCTTTCTTTCTTTCTTTCTTCCTTTCTTTTTTCTTTCTTTCTTCTTTCTTTCTTCCTTTCTTTTCCTTTCCTTTTTCTTCTTCCTTCCTTCCTTCCTTTTTTGTTTCTTTGTTTCTTTGTTTCTTTGTTTCTTTGTTTCCTTGTTTCTTCTTTCTTTCTTTCTTTCTTTCTTTCTTTCTTTCCTTCCTTCCTTCCTTCCTTCCTTCCTTCCTTCCTTTTGCCTTCTCACCCTCCCATCTCTATCTATTTTGAAAAGTCTTGTTGTTGCTGGTTTAAAGACCCCTGTGTATGATTCTGGGAGAACAAGAGATTTTTCTGGTCATACTGATCCGGAAAACAATATCTAAAGGTTGTACAGTTACTCTGCAACAATGTTTCCCAGGAAGTTGTCTTCTGGATCTCAGTCCCCAGCTTTCAAAGAGGACACAGATTGTTGCGGGCAAGAGGGTGACTCTGTAAACCGCTTAGCGAGGGCTGTAAAGCACTGTGAAGCGGTCCATAAGTCTAAGGGCTATTGCTATAATTGGACTAGAACAGTGGTGGGATTCAAATAATTTAACGAACGGTTCTCTGCCCTAATGATTTCTTCCAACAACCAGTTCACCAAACTGCTCAGAAGGTTAGCAACCGGTTCTGCCGAGGTGGCGTGAACTGGCTGAATCCCACCACTGGGATTAGAATATTTTTAGGGAAGGAAGGATGGCATGGAAGGCTTTCACCAGACATTTTAATGATTCTACTCCAGTAACAAAAGCTTGATAATGAAACAATTATGGAGGGAAGTGTTAATCTCTCCTTCACAGGATGGGTCCAACTGCAGACTGAAGAGCCAGCCTCTCTGTCTGGCCTGCTTCAATTCGGACTGTAGCATCAAATGGGAAATTGGATTTGACAGCTCCCAATGCATTCCTCAAGTGGCTCAGTGGCTAAGATGCTGAGCTTGTTGATCAGAAAGGTCGGCAGTTTGGTGGTTCGAATCCCTAGCACTGTATAACAAGAGTGAGCTCCCGTTACTTGTCCCAGCTTCTGCCAACCTAGCAGTTCAAAAGCGTGTAAAAAAATGCAAGTAGAAAAATAGGGACCACCTTTGGTGGGAAGGTAACAGCGTTCCGTGCACCTTTGGCATTTAGTCACACCGGCCACATGACCATGGAGATGTTTTCGGATGGCACTGGCTCTTTGGCTTTGAAACAGAGATGAGCACTGCTCCCTAGAGTCGGGAACGACTAGCACATGTGTGCAAAGGGAACCTTTACCTTTACTTGAACGCATTCTTCCAATGCTAGAATTCCACATCATTCAGGTGAAAAGATTGGGTCTCCAATGATGCAACACACAATGAGCCGAGGTGGCGCAGTGGTTAGAGTGCAGTACTGCAGGCCACTTCAGCTGACTGCTATCTGCCGTTCGGCGGTTCAAATCTCACCGGCTCAATGTTGACTCAGCCTTCCATCCCTCCGAGGTGGGTAAAATGAGGACCCGGATTGTTGTTGGGGGCAATATGCTGACTCTGTAAACCGCTTAGGGAGGGCTAAAAGCCCTATGAAGCGGTATATAAGTCTAACTGCTATTGCTATTGCTATTGCTATT